TTATGCATTATTATTTGTACATTTGCCCAAACGCAGTCAAAATGACTTCCTTGGGCAATCTAGTGTTAAACAGATTCAATTGTTATTGGTACTGTAGTTGTCAGATACGAAAAAAGTCATATACAACTTCCTCCCAATTCCACTCGTTAAAAGGTATTTGATGATGGACGAAATAATTAATTAATTACTCCTGAATTATTCGGGATAGGAGGAAATTGTAATTGTAAAAGGAATACCCACAACTGTGAACCTATTGTTCTTTCTTAAACTGTGCTTATACGTTGAACAAAATTTATTTGTTTCATGTCTCTGTACGAAATTATGAAACAACCCTTCTGTTGTAATTTGTACTCATTCATCGTACAGAACATGAATTGTTAAAATATGCGCACGTCTACATTTGGCACGGAATTGAGAACAAAAAGAGATATTCACTCTCGGGAAAGAGAAACTTACAGGTCGGTGAGCTTGTGCGCGCCCTGGAAGGCGGACGCCTCGATCCGAGATATTTTGTTCCTCCTCAGGTCCAGATGCTGCAACTCTGGCAGCTTCTTGAAGAGGCCGTCCGCTTTGATCTTGTCCAGCTCATTGTTGGCCAACAGTCTGGCCGCGGGGACAGAAGAAAGCCGTGAGACGAGAAAGTTAAGAGGAGTCTGTATCGTCAAAGCGTCTGATACCCGGCGAGCAATTAATCGCGCTACGGGGCGTCGATCCATTAAACGAGTTCGAATAATTTATTTCGAATAATGGCGTCGACGTTCATTGTTCCCGACCCCCGTAGCCTTGCTCCATGGGCCGGCTTTTAATCAGATAATTATCTTGTCGGCCGTTTGAATTAATTTTCTCGCGCGAAAAAGGTAACCGGGGGTCGTCAAGCCTTCTCGATCGACAGATACCCGATATACCGTTTCTTTTCATTCTCGCCATTAAAAACTCCTGACTCTAATTTATTCTTCGAGTGGAGTGTTCCTTGGCGCATTCAAATTTAAAATTATCAATCAAAATCATGAAACTATTTATATTATACTATAACATAATTGTGAATATATTAAACCTCAAAGGACTTATCTTTTTATTCATAATATGATTCATAAAATTGACATAAGATGATTGACGGCCTGTCGAGTGCGATGATGTCTTAGAAGTGATTAGTGAACTGAACGATGTACTCACAGGGTGGACGTGTAGATCGGCAGCTCCTCCGGTATCGATGTTAGCTTCTTGTTAGAACAGTCGACGGTAGCCCCGTTGCAGACGCATGGCTCTGGACACTCTCCAGGCAGGATACACTCGCCGGCCCTCTTCGTCAAGAGCTCCTCGTCGCCTAAAGTACAAACAGCCGGATACAAAATCTACTTCAAACAAATCCCGTCTGATCTGCCTTTCCTACTCGGGACCACAGACAAGTGTCGCTCTCGAATGAGTCAGTGATTAAAGCTAGTTTATAAGAGCTCTAGAAGACGTACGTGTCTATTACAACGTCGTATCCAGAGGCTATTCTGGTTAAAACAATCGTGAAACGATATTATGGTTGTTGCCTCAGTGGTTCTCAGTTTTAACAATCTCATTCTGAAAAGCCTTGTTAGACGCAATTTACAGACTTCCCTATTAGCGTCATTTAATTTTATTTAATACAGTGTGTGAAATAGTAAGTCGAAATGTAACAAGCAATGTAATAGAAATTTCTAATTCTAATGAACGAAAACAAGTCTGGTCATGGTATTACACGCGTGAAACACAACGCTAAATTATTACTGCAGACTTTGACAAACCGAAGGAATATCATGTATCCCTTAACAGCTTTCACTCTCGACAGGATACAGCGTCGAGTTAATGGCTCTCAGGCTTTTATAAAATAATGACTGCAGTAGCGCGTATAGAAGCAAACTACAAAAGTGCGACAGCACGTCACAGAACTATCTTATCTAGTTCGAGAGAGAATTATTTTTAAAAAGAGATGATAGTAGGTCGGTGCGTGAAAGCGTTAATGATCAATTTGTAATAAGTTGACCCGGGTCAATCGTGACGCAGCAGGGGAAATCGTGAAGCTCGCGGGGAGAAAGTGGCCCCGACGACTGCGTCGCGACGAGGACGAGGAAGCCGCGTGTAACCCGTTATTAAACGCGGGACGCAAATTACCGATATAATTACGCGCGTGTATCGCGGCGGACAATTTGTAACGCGGCGTATAATGCGATGATAAATCACTCGTGCGCGCGAGCGCGCGGGCGTTCCAGCGTGTGTACATACTCATACATAAACATATTCACCTCGAAGCACGTGACATTCAACACTCAATTAACGTGCGAGCGAGGGAGACGGAAAGAACGTCGAAGCAACGCGTCGATGCTTAATTTAATGATATCGCTGCTGCTACTACTGTTCATTATCAAAATTTATCGTCCCGGCGTTAACGACGGTAACCCGGTGCGTGCGCGAAATCCTCGCCTTTCGATTCTGACTATTCGATTCAGAAAAATCAATTTCTTTTTATCTCTAATTATTCCCTCGCGTTAAATCATTTTGGAAATATTCTTGGGCAAAGATAAACGACGGGGTGCGGCACGAATACATGGCGCACGTTTCTTCTAAATTTTTAGTAAATAGGTAGCTCATAACGGTGGGCTGGCAGCAGTTTTGTGTAAATTTCGCGGACAGTTCACCGCGTAAAAGTTGCGAAAGTTCGCGTGTATTCTCCGAAAATGCAGTGCAACGATATTGCGCGAGAGGCCACGGCGTACGTGCCGGCGAAGTGTTTATTCTCCGGGTGTCATTCGCTACGGCGAGCCGTTGCACGGAAGCGGCAAACGCGACGGCGAGACGCGGTATTGCGGGAAACGCGATTATATTCCGGCGCTGCTAAGTGCAATTAGGTGCAACATACTGTAGTGCGGTAGATTAAAAGCCGGCGAAGAAAGAAACTGTGCGCGCGAGATGCGTGTCGCCGGCTGTTATTCTTGAACACGCACTCCTTCAAGATTCCTGCGAGCATGGCACGCGCCTTCCTCGAGCACCACTCCCAGTGCCACTTATTTTCAACCCGTCGTCTTTTGATTTTCGAGAACGAGCTTTGACTCCGAGCTTCTCGCGTCGCGGCAGAGCCGATTTACGGAAAAGTCGGAAACGCTTGTTAGCGTTGAGATTTACCGCCAAACAGACTGAGAAACCACTTGAGAACGCTCACGATCATCATTCGTAGCAGAATTGTTTATAAGTGATAGGATATGAGTCTATTGTTTAAATATTAACAGGCGTAATAATTAGTATAGTAATTCAAAGCATAGTAATTGGTATTTTTTTATTCAGGCTATAATTTTATTCAGAAAATTCTGTGAAAAACGTAAAACTGAATTCTAAGTCACTGATTCATTTTGCAATTACTACGTACGTGTAGTTCGACTCTCGGTTACATCCAGAGGATGAAATACGTCGATGTATGGCGTTACCGATTTGTGTCCGTGTTCCAGGGGCGGCTGGCTTAGTAGTGAAATAACAGAGAAATCGGATCGTGCTTACCCTTACATTTGAACTTGTCTTCTCGCATCGAATCGATCTTCCGCTTCAGCGTCCTCTTCGGCGACTCGCACTTCGCCCCGGACGTTTCGATAGGATGCGCTTGAAGGTACGCGTTCAGCCATCGCAGATTGCAGTCGCAGATGAACGGGTTCCTTGCCAAATGTCTGTAGAGAAATCGAACAACGTTCAAATTATATTCTTCAAAACTGCATCTTCTTTAATATATTCTCTTGTCATATTTCATTGTTGTATCAACATTTTTTAACTTTCAACGAACGTCCAGATAGATTCTGATAAATGACGTGTCTATCATTTAATTTCAAACGAAACTTAACATTTATGTCAGGCAGAAATGATACTGATTTTCCAACTGAATGTATTTTACCAGAACACGGATTGATCTCTCCGTGTTGTACTACTGATCAAAAATTTTTGGTCTCGGGTAAATCGCGATAAATCGTAGCGGGGTAATGCGATCAATTCGAGCAGAATCCAGCAAATTGGTCATATTTTCGTGGAACGTATCCGAATCGTTGAAAGAGTGTCAATCAACGAATGGAACGCGAATGTGTGGCGCGGTCGAACATAAACCTGCGAGCGGAGCTGAGACATATGTATACAACGCAATGGAACGAAATGCACGGTGACACGCGTTTGCAATTCGATCCGACGCGCACGAGAGCTCCGCGAATGTTGGAAAGGGATCGGGAGAGTTAAAACCGTGGTAATTTGTATAAATTAACGGTTCAATGCAGGGATACAAACAGCGTTTCAATGCTTCGTAGATTGGCGAAAGTTCCATTGGCCAGGGATCTGATTTTGTTATCGTACAGCGACAACAGCGTTAGGCTGGTCAGATCCGAGAACAGATCGGTGCGTATGCAGGATATCTCGTTCGCGTTCAGCAACCTGAAAACAGTTTATTTTGCTTGGTTCATTTGTGTTTCTTGCTTTTGCTCACCGCAGAATAATATGCAATGAGTAGCGACAAATTAGCTATTCATACGTAAATACGTTTAAGCCGAAATTAAAAATGACGAGGATATAGATACTACAGAGTGTCAATTAGGAAAATCTTTCTCAAAAATATTCATAGAGAAGGAAGTAAGAATTGTTTCAATATTTTAAAGAATGCATTTTCTACTAAACGATAAGCTAAAATACGTGCAAAATTTTTTTGTAGACTTACAGTAATTGTAGATTAGTCAATCCTTGAAACACTCCACTGGGCAGCTCGCCGATCTTGTTCCCGTACAACACTCTATAATCAAACGAATGAGAAAGTCATAAAGAGTCGTTTCATTTTTCGGCGGTCCCGCTATAAATTTCACAATAATACGTACAGCGATTCGAGAGATTTCAAACCGTGGAACGCGTCGGCCGCAATCTTTTTGATTTGATTGTTGCTGAGGTCACTGTTGGCGAGCATCCGGGAAATCAACAAGGACAAAGATTAAAAACCGACGGCGAAGAGGTAAAGAGAATCGGGGCAGAGGAAATATTAAATTAAATTGAATTAATCGGTAACGTCACTCACATTCTGATCAGTTTTCTGTACGGGGAGAAAGCCTTCGGCGGGATTTCCGTGATGATGTTCTGCTCCAAACGTCTGCGAATGATTGACAACAGAGAGGATAAGTTAACAAACTCTTGTATACACACGATTTTTCCGCGTAGAAATTGCCCACGGCTCCCCGAACGTCGAGTTAATTGGTTTTTATAAGCAACAATTTCATAAGTCGGCAAACAGTCTCCGTGAACGTTTGACAGTCGCGGTTTGTTAGCAGAATTTTGGATGCAAATTAAATGCGATTATAAAGCGTCAGGGAATGTTGAATAGCTGAAATAATGCTGGACAAAATGTATCTCTGACCAATTAATTTGATCGCATTCGTTGTATGATAATAATTTAATTTTCCATCCAATTTGAGCTCTGCGTATTTTATTAAATCGTAGCCACGCGTAAATTATTGTATTATGAACATTTTGACAAGTGGACGCGTTTGAAAATTTCTCGTTTTCGAGAACGAATGAACAGTTTCACGAATTTGTGGGAGAATTCTACGGGAAAAATGCGAGAAACGTATTTGAATTTACGAACAGTTCGGTCGTGTCCTCGGGAAGATAGGTGGGCACTTTCGTCAAAGAATTCTCTCGACAGTCGACGATACCGCCGGCGCATTTGCAAGGATGCGGGCATTGCGGTTCCACGCTGCACTCCGAACCCGTGCGCTCGACCGGCCCGGAACACTTGAACTCGTGCATCTGTGTGCAAACAGATACGTGAAACTCCTCGATGACAGAAATAAAGAGATGGAGATCAAAGGAATTCCACTGAAACCATGTCGAGAGAATACGGATACAAATTAAAAGCATTGCGCGTTTCTTGAAGCTTAACACGAAGATAAACTGAAATAAACTATATAAAATAATGACGGATAGTTGAAATGTAAAGAACTTATAAACGTGGATCCTTGATGATGTAACAATGAAATTGAACCTGTATGTCGACGATGTTTCGATCCTTTAAATTGATCGGGGAGGCGCAACGCGTGTTTTGACCAAGCCGTGAAGAAGATCTTAAATAGAGCGAGAGCCAGGACAAATGGCAGTCACAGGACAGCGGGTTGTCCAGCAGCTTCAGTGTTCGCAAATGCGAGAAGCCCAATATTTCTGTTCCCAGTGTGGTCAGTTTGTTGTTGTTCAACAGCCTGTAACATGGGACGACATTATATAGAATTATTTCTATTTCATTTGTAAAATTGCATGTCTTCTATGGATTCTTTACTTACAGTATTTCTAAATCCTTCAACTCTCGTATCGATGCCTCGTCGATGCAAGTTAAAACGTTGTTGTCTAGTTGCCTGATGACAAAATTAATTCAATTTGCTTACACGTCAATTTTAATCTCTTATTATAAATAATTGAAAGAGAAACAGTATTTAATGCATAAGATTTAATTTTATAGGTAGGAAAATTTCTCTTTAGAGTGTCTGACCAATGCAACTTGTTCTACTTCAAACGACGGGCAGTACAGACATTTTCTATTAATTTCAATATTTCATTTATACATATTTCTTATTTATGGGAACTGATTGAATAAGACTTACAAGTATTTTAAAGATGAAACTCCTCTCAGTGTTTTTGGACCGATTGTGGAGATTTGATTATGGCTTAGGTCTCTGTAATAATCCGAAAATAATTGCATATTACAAACTTTTCTAAGCTTCAATAGTCAAATCATAAAAAATATCCTTATTATGGCGTTCATTAAAGGTAATTACAATGAGTCATTCAAAGCAACCAGTAATTAAATCAATTATCGATTTTAATTGAAAATTACACTTTATTCCGTTTTATACAATTAAGCTCATGAACAATTGTAATAAATAACATGCTTAAGAGTAACGAAGATATTAAAATGCGTTTCGATGCAGAAGAATGCCAGTTGAATCGCGCCGGTGCATCGACCTTTATAACGCTTCCCGTTTCACAAAGCAAAAGGTCGATTTCCAATGAATAAGTACACTGGCAACGCGTTCCAGTTTGCAGTTAGTTGGTCTCGAGTTCGCTCTACATGTGATCAATTATTTAACGCGTCGTCGCGACGCTCTGTTCGCGGGTAAACTCTTCGCAGACAACGCTCACGTGTGACCGCGTGCACGTGCACCGATCACGCGGATGGCTGTATACTTCTTTAAGGTTTTACGGGGTCGTTACCGTAGTGTAACGAATCATCATTTTCCATGTCTCTACGTGAAGCGTCCCCGTTTTCATCTTTGCGCTCAAGATGTGCACAAAGATGTTAAGGATGTGTAGGCTATATACTTCACCAATACTAGTATGTTGAATTTGTNTTTAATTATAGGAAATGCGTTTTTCTACGGTACATACACTTTTGGGATTGATATAGCCAATACATCCTGAATTAACGAACCTAACAGGATCACCAGCAATTATCAATATCAATTCTGTAATTCATGCATGATCACGTGTAATTAAACAAAAAAAAGTATGATAAATGAAGTCCATATATACAGAATAATATTCTGTCGCTATTTAATCATATGCATGAATTTTCCCTGGATGCAAATGCGCTCACAATTTGTTACCGACAAAGTAACAAGCGTTGATATCTATTAACTCGGATGTAGGTAGAACTAAATCGGATAACGATTATTACACTCGTCAGCATAATCGTCAAAGTAAATTTAATGGCGGTGTTAACACAGTTATTGGCATTCTTCTAAATACCGTCGTCGGTGCAGCGTGCAAGCCGGGGACTGTTTCCCTAGCGGAGAGAGAAGCGCGATCGAGGGGTACTCTTCATCATATTTATCGTCATAATTTCCGCGGAACGACACGCACCATGAATAATGCATGCGCAACGCATCGTTTTTCGAGCGCAACGCCGCGCTTAACGGTAGAGTCAATCACGATAATGGATCCCTGCGCTAAACCAGAGGTTCGTTTAAATAGATTGCGTTACGTCGTCGTCGTCGTCTCTCGCGTCGCGACTCGCCACGACCCCCTGTCTCCTTTTTCCCGGGACGAGATGCACATGCACGAGTTTAACCAGGCGTTCGCGATGATAGGTTAGAGGTCCCGGTGCCCGGTTCACCGTTGACCATCCATTGGCTCTCGGGTACCCGCGTAGCCTATAATTATGTCCGCCGAGGAGACCGCGGAGCAGGATCTCGGACGAAGGATGAACACGAGAAATAAAAATAGGAAATAGCTGAGCGGGATTCCCGATCGAGCTTTCGTGAAAGGAAGAAGAAAGCGAATAAGAGAGCCAACAACGGTGTTTCGGCCAGGCATAAGGCAAGAACTGACAGATTTAGACCTCCTTGCTCACCGGAGCCAATCCTGAAAGCAATTACCGAATTTCGACCACGTAGACACGTAGCCGACAGGGAGCAAAAGGAACCCGACGGCTTTTAGCGCTGCCAGTTTCATTTGGAACCGCTGTTGCAGCTCGATCATGATAACTTCCTAATTTGAACAAGCAATTTGGTAAGGCCACGAGCGGAATGCTTTCACCATTGATCTCCGCTGATCTCGGCAACAGCGCCGGGATAAAGCGAGTTCTGTGTTTGTCCGATATCTTTTATCCTTTCCTTTTGGGAAATAATAATCTCGTAAAGGCGGTCGCGTTGATGTTGGCAGTTTTGCGCGCCATAAATTTGGTAGAATTTCAATAATTTCCAAACGCGCCGCGCCGAGAGTCCCGGCTGGTGGGTAGATTAAACTCCCACCGGCGTTGCAAGCCAATCCAGAAAGCAATTACTGAATTTCGACGTAGCCGCTCCTTCGGTGGAACTAACAAAAGGACCTTCTGGACCTCGCCACTCTCTCTCTCTCTCTCTCTATCTCCTTCTCTCGTCGCTCAATACCGAATGTTACTGCTACTGTGCTTTGTGCTACTACTGCGATAAGAGTCGGATGAAATGAAACTTGATTGGTGCCGCTTGGGATCACATGAGAAATTGTTTGTAGTACAGTTTGTACAACTTGTAATTTCATTTTATATATTGTCCTAGGCTAGTCTGAGTTTCATAGTGGCCTTAGTTCGCAGTTTGCATCAGTTCCTTTCTGATCTAACTCGATCAAAAAGATTTTAATTATGTAATCAGACCCGTCATCGTTTGAAATGAAAACCTGCTTAACATCTTTCAATGTTTTCGACATATTTAAGAAAATAATAATGAATTGTTTGAAAAACGATGCATAGCTGGCAATAATTTCATATTGAGAACTGGGAACCGTTATTTTCACCGGGAAATAATGAGCTGAAATAATTATAAGAAACGGCGTTATTTATCGTTGCATTCGCAGCAGAATTTCGCGCAAATAATTAAGGAAGTTAGCTATTCACAGTTAATGATAAATTACAGGGTATTTGCATGTAAATAATTGCAAACTAACCGTGATAAATAAGCACGCCGCGCCCCTGTCCTACAAAACTGCTGAGAATTGTATTAAATTCGCCCGCGCTCCAATTTCTCTCTTTCTATTTAATACGTAGCTCGGAACACTATGCAACTTCATCAGTCCTACATGGTCTTTTATCACCTTCTTCAATTACTTCATTTTCTTTATTCCTACTGATTTTTATCATTTTTTATAATTATCGGAATTACGGTGAAACATTTTTCTACTTAATCTTCAACGTTGCATGCATTCAATCATTTGCTTTTAATTTGATTGATACAACGTCAGCTGCAATTTTTCATATTGCAAAATAATCGTATTTCCAATTGTGGTATCTATCTAAAAAATTATATATATATGCAATTTTTCATATTGCAAAATAATCGTATTTCCAATTGAGATATCTATTTAAAAAATTAAGATCTTTTTATCTGAACAGTCTAGACTTTAAAACGGTAGGAGGTTATACATATACAACATATGGCAAGGGAATCGGGTCAATACGTTCCCCATGCGACGAGATAATACGGCGGTCGTAAATCGTCGTGACCGGGAATCGGCAAGAGGTTTTCAGCGTTTCGTTTCTTAAATCAATGCCCGGTTGTCAAAGCTGGGCGACAGTTTTGTCCCGGTTATTATCAGCGTTAAGTGTACAGCGAACAAATGTTATTGCGTCGTAAATACGGACTCGTACATACATAGCGCGTTAGTAGTACGCGAGGTTCGCAGAGGGTATCGCGTTTCAGGCGAGTCGCAATATGCTCGCTGTTCGCCACGACCGAGTGATACTAATCAGCCGAGTGTCCGCGCCCCTTTCCATTGTGTCAAACCATTTATTACTGAGCAAGCTTCATCCTCTCTTACCACCTCTGGAATAGCTTTCTACGTCCTCGCCGATGGGTTAATCACACGTTTCGCGTTACCCAACGTGATGCTCAGACAAGCGTATTACATCTTCAAACACTAGGAATTCGCAGAATTGAACCGGCCTCCTGGATTAATTAATATTTCCTGCTATTTAATTGATGAGTATCCTCGTGGGAGGATTCAACGCGATTCATCAATTCTCAGGCTGGCGAAAATGTGCGAACCATCTAATTGTATTACATTTGATTTATGGAAGGAATTAATCATCAAAGGGAAAAATAGACAGAGGAGACAAGAAAGTCGAAGCAGAGCGCGTTAGAAATTAATTTATTTATATGTACATCAGTTAGAATCCTAAAACTTAAATAGGAGAAGTATTTACGCCCGCCTCGGGAAACAACCCCCATCAATGCATTAGCCCGTTCTCCGGTTTCGTTGCGTGGCATCGACTTTATCCACGGCAGATGAAGGATTATCAAGGCGCCTGGACGGCCGTGAGAATCTCGGCGCGGCAGGCCCCGCAACATAATACGTCCTTTTGTAAGCTGCCTGTTCCCGAGCTTATCATCAGAAACTGTAGGTTACGTGTTCCGAGGGCAGAGTAGAAGGCCTCGAGAACAGCTCTCCTCCCGCGTTGGAACCTTCGAGTTCTCGTCTGGCCACTTCGCGGCATGATAGATGGGCCATCCTACCGCCGTCTCGCTCTTTCACTCCTTTGTTTCGTGTCTTTCGATTTCTCGTCTTCCTTTGCCTTTCTCTCTCTCTCTTTTTCCCTGTCAGCTCTCGAGGAGAGGAACAAGAAGAATTTCTTTTTCTCTCTTTTTATGTATACCTGTGACTTCTACCAACTTTTCGAATCGATCGACGCACGGTTGCAACATCGACACGGAAGCCACGTTCATTCCGACACGATCGCGATAACCGTTCGTTATCTCCTCCTTTTTTCTCTTTCCGCCCTAGACCAGGTGCCGGACTCGAGACGAGCTGATTAAGATTCAGGATCGGTGAGCAAGCCGCGCCAAGGGAAAACCGTGTGGACCTCAGTGTTAAT